TCGAACGGGGGGCGGCGCTCTGTGGCCTGGTACAGCCCATTCGCGCATCCTCGTTCTTCTCCTTTATCCCCACCAATGTAGCGTCTAAGATTTACATCAGTCGTGGTGGAATGAAAATCTGATAATAAAATTCATCGCTTGACTGTATTTTTCAGTTTTGCTTTTTTAATAGTCGATATACAAATGGAACGGAATTGGGTGGAAGGGGGAGGATGGACAATCTTCTTTGCAAAACCTGGAATATTACGCAATTTTCACCCTCTTTCATGCTCCGAATCGACTTGTGGCAATATCGTGCCCAGCAAGGGGGCTAGGCCCCCTGCTCGCTCTATTCGATGAGACCGGGGGGGCTTGCCCCCCCCGCACGACCGTTTGAGTGAAATATATCGCGATGAAAGAATGATTGTTTTTTTTTGTCTCATATAGGGATTCTGGTAACCCTCGGCACCCCTATGATTTTTCCCACAGAATGGAGCAGGTTGATGGGGCAAGACGGACCATCTTCTTTGTAACGTCTGGACTATTACGCAATTTTCATCTTCTTTTATGCTCCAAATTTATTTCTGGAAATATCATTCTTAGTTAGGGGGCTAGGCCCCCTGCTCGCTCTATTCGATGAGACCGGGGGCTTGCCCCCCCCCACGACCGTTTGAGTGAAATATATCGCGATGAAAGAATGATTGTTTTTTTTTGTGTCTCATATAGGGATTCTGGTAACCCTCGGCACCCCGATGATTTTTCCCACAGAATGGAGTAGGTTGATGGGGCAAGACGGACCATCTTCTTTGCAACATCTGGAATATTACGCAATTTTCATCTTCTTTCATGCTCCAAATTTATTTCTGGAAATATCATTCTTAGTTAGGGGGCTAGGCCCCCCGCTTGCTTTATTCGCCAAGCCCGGGGGGCTTGGCCCCCCCAGCTAGCTTTATTCGGTACGAGCCGGGGGCCTGGCCCCCCAGATAGCTTCATTCGCCAATCCCGGGGGGCTTGGCCCCCTAGCTCGCTTTATTCGCCAATCCCGGAGGGGCTTGGCCCCCCCGCACAGCCGTTCGGGTGCGATATATCATTATTTGAAGGAATGGTTTTCTTCTAGTGTCTCCTATAGGGTTGCCTTTACAAATTTTCTCACCTTTATGAATTTTCTGACCCTCGTGACCCCTCCAAGTTTCTTGACAAGATAACTCATAAGCTTCAAAAAGCTTGAGAGGGTCAGCGCCAGAGAGGTTGTAAGGGCCATTTATCATGCTCCTGGCCCTCGTGACCCTCATGAATGTAGAACAAAAAATTATACCAGCCTAATCCTTGTGGCCCTCAGGCCCAAATGTCGCCTGAAACTTTCAGCGTTACTTCAACACTATTTCTCCACAACATTACGTAGACGGATAATTCCATAAATTATCAAATGAACGGAAATGAATTTTCCAGTAAACATTTCATCACCTCATAATTGATTTTTTGCTCTAATTTGAGCGTTGATTTCATGATAACAGCAGTCCTGTTGATTTTTCCATTTTTCAAGTGCCTGAAAAAATCGTAAATCTGCTGAGAGACCACTTTAAAATCCGGAATCAACATTTCCCGAGTACTTAGTATGCGGTGCAAATGGCAACGAGAGTGAGGGAGGAAATGTGAACGAGGGAGAGCTCCGCGGTTTCGACGAGGGAGAAGGGAGCTATAACCCAGGCATTCTCGGTGCATGTATGTGGGACAAAACGATAACTAGGGGAAAAAAAGTTGCGAGTGCAAAGTTGAAGGAGATCTAAGAACGGTTTGTTGTCAGTGTAAGAAGATCATGGTGTTAGCTGCTTTGTGACATCAAAAGGCTGACAATGAGCGGGGAAATTTTCCCCTGAAAATACCTGGGACGATTATATTTCCAGTGTTTCAGAGTCAAAACCTGATGTTCAAATAATTCTGGGAAGCAATAAAAACGTGGAAAAATACGATATTATTTATTTATTTTTAACGCGATTTACCGCAAGGGGTTCGCGACTGGCCATCGCCTGAAGGCTTTCAGCCTGGTGTTTACAGAGATATTTAGTTGAATGTTGTGATAATGTACCGGGTACAATCGAGAAAAAATACGATATTGTCAATTTATTGAAAGACAAAATAATTATGAAGCCCTGAATCTGAAGATGTTCGACTAGACTGTTGGGACTTTTTCCGAGAGGTGGCGTCACTTGTCTCGTTTGCTCCAGCCTTCCGCGATGCACCATCACGCTCCGATATAGCCATCACATTTTTATAAACAATTATAAAGGATTATCACTGGAATTGCATGTGAGAAAAATTGAGTAATTGTGCATATGCGAGGAAATAATGAGATAGTAATGAGGAATGTATACCCTACGATCAGATGGATCCGTATCAATCAGCAGCATCGAATTTACAATTTCAATTCTTAAATGAAATTGTGATTGCAGTATACAATCCCAATGGAACTGGAAGTTGTATTTTTTGTAGTTCTTGCAACATCTTAGCTCTATCGTTTTGATATACTTGGGGGAATCCCGCAGAATGTGGTTAAAATTTTCTTCTAGATGACCACAAGAGCATTTATGCTGTATTAGTATGATTAGAACGAGCTCTAGTGATCCAAACAATCTTATCTCTAGATAATGGGAAGACCCATTTGAGACTTCACGGAGAGAAATATTCAATGAAAATTCCGGAGCGAAATGTGGTCGTAGGAAATTTTACGGAACTGTCACGGAATTTTTCCGGAGCGTTCCGTAATTTTTATCTGAATCTCCTGTGAAAAATTACGATACCGTCACTTAAATTTTCTGAGTCGATTCCGTAATCGGTGAGCGAATTGTGAGTTCCGTTATTTTTACTGAACATTTCTCTCCGTGTTGAAAGTCTCAATTTGAGACCGAAAAATCTCTATTTGATCCTTTCGAAAATCTCAACTTGCGATTTTTGAAACTCAACACAAGAATTTTTTTTGCGCCTAGAAAAATCCTGACTCCCCCTCAACTTTTACATATTCCATTTATTTCTATTCCTCTCTTTCCATATTATAATAGCAGCTGATAACACATCCGCTCGATCATAACCTCCTTCCAATACCATAAAATTTCCCTCCAAAAACCGAATCCATTAATTTCTAACAAGTATTTTATTTTATTTTATTTTTAACGGAATCCGTTGCAAGCCCGAGAGCTTGCAACTGGCCATCGTCCGAAAAATATTTTCTTGAGACAAGTAAATTTTCTTCAATTGCTTAATTCTCTCAGGCATCTCAACTCACATGACCCGAGAAAGGCCCCATGCTTTAAAATATTCTTCTGCTCAAGAATGATTTTGTCGCAAATGAACTTAATTAAATCGCGTAGAAGAATCGTCAATCTTCTAGTCTTTATTGTTTTCATGACTTTTTCGTTATGCACTTCCACTATTGCAATATGTAAAATATTCATGACGTAACGCGGAACGATAGTGATGAATGAAAATTTATTCGAATTCCGTGAGGTGCACACATTCCGAGATTTAAGCCAGTGAAAATAATTTACTTCTCTCAAGAAAATATGTTTCAGATATTAGAAATTTTTTTTCTCAGTGTAGATAATGAAAAGGTCTCACAGGTATTTCCACAGATCGATACTAATTTCATTTACAAGGCATTTTGTCAACTTCAATTTCCCAAAAAAAGGTGAGTGCGTCGGTTACCAAAAAAAAAAACCTCAGAATATGTAGTGCGGGAGGATGAAATGATGGGTCAGTGTGGAAGCAGTACGCGTGATAGTAGAACAACGACAATCTGAGGGTGAGTTTGAGGTACATACGAGCGTCACAGAGTGTTTTGTTCGCGCGCGATGAGCGCGTCGCCATAGCGACCGGCGGTTGTTTATTATTGCGTCCAGAGAGCAGTTAAAGGGTGGCGGCCCGGTGGGTGGTGGGGGCGCAGAGGGGGATGAGGTTTTTGAGTGAAGGGGTCAAAAGGGCTAGACGCAATGTGCTGATCAGCCTGGGTAGAGTCGCGAGGGGAAAAGTTTGTTAGTGGGAGAAGATGCGGAGGGGCAGGGCTGATCGGACGTGAGAGAGAAAGCGAAAAATAGCGGAAGAGAGAGAGAGAGAGAGTGAGAGTGTGAGGGCGAAGAGGGAGGGGGTGCAAAGCCCGGTGGCCGACCACACGAGCCCGAAAAACACATTCGCTTGCCGAACCCCAGCGCGGTAATGAGAGTTCGATAAAGCGCTGTTACCAGTTTGACGTCAGGCGATTTTTCACTCCGGGTAACATCTACTCAACGTGGGGATTGTAAAACCCGCGGGCAGGGATTTTTTCATTCATTATGGTTCTCATGGACTAGGTCAAACGGGAGTCATCGATTTTGTAGATTTTTTTATTGTTATTTTACGTCGCTTCGACCCGGTCACGTCAATCTGATCAATAATTTGCCAGAAAAATGAAAAAAACGTGAATTTTGCAGAACACTGATATTTTTTTTATTACCACGGACATGAGCTTTGATTGATTTCAATGATTTCACATGATTCCATCGTGATCCCAGATTGATTCAATCACAGAGTGGCCCCTTGACTTTGGGAGTGAGCACCCCTCGTTAAGTCACTTTATAATTAGCTTATAAAAAAAACATAGTGTGAACTAATAAAATAATGAATATTATTGATCATTTTTTTGTGTGTTATAATTTCGCCATGTTCATAATTTTTTTCCTCAAAATCCCATTTCGAAGTTGTCCCCTCCCACATCATTCAACCAATTATGAAAATATTCAACTGATAAATATGTATTCGTTCATGAGAGAGCAACAAATAGAATCGAAGGCTAATTGCGTGGACAAGAAATTAATATCAGCTCTCCTTTTTTATCGACTTTGCATACATCAACGTGATTTTTTGTCGACCATCAGGAAAAAGGTAAGTCTGTCATTTTTGCTTCAAGCAGATCCCCATATGACGGAAGAGTTCAACTTTTTCTTACCAAGGACGAGTTCTACATACATTTCGTGCTATAATTTCAAATACATCATGTGAAGATGCGACGAGTCCAGCCGTAGTTGTTCGGCCAAGCACGAGGGGAGTATACGTTCCGTCCCTGAGGTGCGTAGTTGTTCGGATCAATTTGGAATATATTCGTTTCTCTTGTATTAACATGGGATTGAGTGATTCGATTCCGGCGTGTCGAAATGAGTGCTGAATCCGGTAGCTGAGTGGATTTTTTTTTTTAAATCTTTTTAAATACGGCTCATTTGACCAATTAACAAGCGATTGTTTTGCAACAAGTTTGGGATTTCAACAAATTTTTTATACATTTTTACCCGTTAGGGGGAGACAACTCCCATAGAATTTCTAGAGAATTCCAACAGAATTTTCTATTAAATTATTTCATACGAGAAACTGGGGAAATTACGACAAGGAATTCCTTTAGAAAATGTCGCAATAAATCAATTTCAAAATTTCAGTAAAAACTCACTGAAATTCAATCACGATGCTGGTGGGCATAAGGATGCAGACGAAAATGACGACTTTTGTCGTTTTCACAGCATTCCTAGTCATTTCCATGTCCACTGAAATCTCAGGAAATGATGGAGATGTATTACAACGCACCATGCCAGCCTACACTATCGCCAAAAATGCCCATTTACTCCCAGCTTCGAGCAGATGTCGATATCAATTGGAAAAGTTGAGGGAAGGTATTGACGATCGCAAGTTGTGGAGTTTACGAAGTAAGAACCCATCGTATTTTTTATATTACCTCATACCTGATATAATACCTGCGTGGGGCAATAAGCGTCGCTTACGACTTCTTTTACTACTACCTTGAAATGCGAACGGCCAATAAATACTTTTTCAAAGTCATTCATTGTATTCTTTGCATATTCAATTAATACGCGACATTCAACTTTTTGTTCTTACGACTCACCTTCATGTCATCTGCATCGCTAAGAATAATAAAATACAAAAATAATTGAGCATTGTCCCACGAAAAAAGGGGCGCCGATATTTTTCATTGAAAACATTATTTCTCGTTCTTTGGGAAAGACGTACGGATCAGCAGATAAAAAATCATGAGGGTCTGAATTTTTTGATAATTTTAAGAAATTCTTTTTCTTCCTTTGATCGCCCACTCAATGAGCGCAGCGCCATTCATTTTCGTTTTTATATATTTTATAACCCGTCTTTCGTGATCCTTATTCTGCCCTTGTGACCCTCATGACCTTTATTCTGACCGTCATGACCCTTATGGCCCTTATTCTGACCCTCATGAACTTCATTTTGACCCTCAAGCCCCTTACTTTGACCCTCACAACCCTTACATTGACCCAAGTGACCTTTATTTTTGGAGTCGGAATTTCGAGTACCAAATTTTCATCACCAGAAGTCCATTTGGATTTTCATAATATAGAGAAATAATAATAACCATTGGAGAAAGCACTTCCAGATTGGTAGAATAAACTATTCCATGAAGTATTAAAAAAATCATGATTTCAGTGTTGGATGCCAGTGGAGCGCCAAAGCCCGGTTTCGTTTACGGAAATAATTTTTGGATAGGATCACAATCCCAGTGCCACGATACTAACAACCCCGAGCCTGTAGTACTGAACCCTAAGTACATGGAGAATATTACCTTGTACAGAAATCCAGAGGAGGAAACTCCACCTTATCTCGTGCATTATTTCGCTGCCAAGTTCACGCATAACGGTACCGTGCAGTACCAGGAAAGACTATTTGATGAGGTAAAAAAAATTCAATCATTTGTTTATTCAGATCGAAAGAATCTCATCAATAACAATAGGACACCCCTTACGTTTCACCCCCTCCCCTCCCCCCAGCGATCGACAGACGAAACACCTCAACTCGAAGAGCCAATCGTTAAAAATAAGAGGATAAAATTTTTTTATTTTCGCTTGGTCGGTGAACGTGGGGGATTATAAACTGTAATTTCTCGAAGAGGAATAAAACTGCATCTGGTAGATAAATCTGTACATCTCGTCAGGCAAGACTCGAAAAATCCCATTATTGAACAGAGAGAAATGTAAATTTCCCAAATAATTGCGCTCGAAAGAAAAATGAAGGAAAAGTTCGTCCTCGCATGGTAAAGAAAGAGATTTCTTAAATCTATAATACACATTTTATTGAAAATTCAAGCTTTCATTGAAAAATCAATGATTGTTTAACATGAAAAATCCAATTGTCTTGAATTTTCAAGATGAATGAGAAATTTAGTGAACGTATTCATTTGAAATTGAATTCAAACTCACAACATGGAAAATTCAGATGACGGCCGAAAAAATTTAATAGAAAAACCTATCGAATTCGTTAGAAAATTCTATTGAATTTCTATTGAACTGTTCTATTGAGATATTTTCTATAGAATTTCCTCGGCTCAAATTTTCCAAGTTTTTTCGTTTGATCTTCTTGATGAGAAGAAAAGAAAAATAAAATGAAAAAAACTTGGAAAATTTGAGGCGAGCAAATTCTATAGAAAATATGTGAAAAGAATAAGTTATATAGAAAAATCGAATTCTGTGGAGTTTTTCTATTAAATGTTTTCTATTGAAGATGTCAAAATAGAATCAGCCAAAAACTAACAGAAAGTTTAATAGAAATTCAATAGAATTTTCTACCGAATTCGATAGGTTTTTCTATTAAATTTTTTCGTGCGTGTGTGACTGAAATTTCAGTCACAAGAAAAATCTAATTGTGTTTGTTAAATTTCAGAAACTCGTTTTATCTGTGTGATTACAGGATGTCATAGTATTGGGATTATGTTTACCTGATATATGTCGTAGCGAGCAACTGAGTACGATATTAGAAAAGATCTTTAGAGAAAGAGAACTATCAATTGGTAACTTATACAGCATGGACTTCACTCTTCTGACCGTCAAGGATCTCAGAAATGACCCGATGTACGTGAATTGGCGAGTCATTGCTACAGGGTACGGATCCATATATTCTGATGTTTGAATAATGCAGTTCATCCTGAATTACCATTGCACACATTTACTTACGCTAAACCGGTTTGGTTTTTATCGATAGGGTTATCCTGCTAGTGACGCTATTGATGGTTATTATTGGTACGTGTTATGATCTTCGGGTCCATCAGAAACGACTTGAGAGAAATAAATTATGCGGTCCTGGTGAGTGAATGTCTATAAACATATAATTCCCATATGACCCCCATATGCCTTATTCTGACCCTTGTGGCCCTCATTCTGACCCTCATATACTCTGACGCTAATTTCATTTCGAGTACCAAATTTTCATCACCAGAAGTCGATTAGGATTTTCATAATATAGAGAGATATATAGGGACCCTTATTTCGGCTCTTATGACCCTAAGCTTCTGACCCTCATGATCCTTATTTGGATCCTTAATCTGACCCTCATTATAAACCTCTGATCCTTGTGACCCTCATTTAGACCTTTGATCTGACCCTTTGACCCTTTGATCTGACGCTTATTATTGATATTTGCCATCTTTCAGGTCCGAAATTGAACGTGGAAAATGGTGGCCCTTCGAATCCGCCTCCGCCTGTCAGTCGTCCTAGTGCAGTTGGAGCAGTAGTATTATCTTTCTCGGCTTACACAAATTCAAAATTCATCTTCGATACGTCCGACAAACGAGAAATGACCTGTCTAGATGGTCTCAGATTTTTCAGTATGGGATGGGTTCTAATAGTCCATACAGTGTTGTATGGATTTAAAGCAACTGGTATGACCATTTCTTTTGTGTTATTTTCTGCTTTTCTTTCTTTCCATAACTTACTGTTCATGTATATTCATTTTCTACTTCTTTTCCGAAATTCTTCTGGGAACGCCTTTTCCTTTCTTCCCCTCCTGGAAATAACCCTTTTCTCCGAAGACCAAAAACATAATTTTAATAGATTTACAATCTGTTAGATAACAGCAGATGGCAATATAGATTGGGCATGGAATTAGTATCGCAGATAATCAGTAATGGCTCTTTGTCTGTGGACACGTTTTTCTTTTTGAGTGGATTCTTAGTCGCATACATTTTTCTGAAGACTAACAAGCCGAATGCTGACAAACCACCGAAAGGATTTCAATTAACAGAACTGATCGAGGCAACTGTGAAACGATTCATCAGGTATTTGTGGACTTTTGTATCTTGTTTACGCGAAATTTATTGAAAATACGTGATGCATTTGATATTACTTCAATGCAATTCTTGTTTCGAACATATTTGTTCGGCATAAATCTCTGTTTATGGGATTATCAGGGAAAGCCATATCCGTAAATTATAATTACCCCTTTAAATTATTAAGTAGTCAATTCGTTAATATCACTCTTAAATTTTAATTGCTCGACGTTCGATGGGATCGAACTAGGTGGATGCAACCTAGTTCCATCCAGGCATCACCCCACTTCTCGCCATTTTGCAGTGGTGTGCCTGCGCCACAGGGCTTTCCTGGTAGCGCACTAACACACTTGGGCACCCCCCACTCTCTTCACATCGATACGTCTCGGGTACTTGGCACTGCAACGGGTCAAATTTCGCCGTGGAGTCTCCACCATTGTTATATCGTTATGCATATCGAACCCTCGGATACGTTCGATCATCTTGACGACCCATACGCTACCGCGTATCTCGATAGATGTCTTCCATTTTTTTCTCCATTCATCTGCGTATTTACCGTTTTCCTTTCAGACTTACACCACCCTACCTGATGGTCATCGGTTTCGCAGAAATGGCTGGTGGGTATTTCAATCTGACGTCCCAATTTTCCACATATGACAAACTACAAGAATCTTGTTCTCAAAATTGGTGGGCAAATTTGCTCTACATTAATAACATCCCACCATTCATTGACGTAACAGTAAGTGGCAATTTTTTTTCTTTCTCAACTTTTCTGTCCCTGAAAATAATTACTGCAAATAGTATATTTTATTTTGCAGTGCCTCAGTTGGAGTTGGTACCTATCAGATGATATGCAATTTTTCATAGTCGCCACAATTCTGTTACTGATCTCCAGAAAGTGAGAAAAAAAATCTCTTCATACATGTTACTGATTTTTTAATTTTGTTCTCTTTCCTTCAAATATTCAGATATTTGTACACCTCCGTGGGGATTTCCGTTATAATCATCCTCTCGTCACTCACAATCACAGGATATACAGTCTACACTACAGAATACGTCCCCACGTGAGTGAAAAAATTACTGTTTGATTGTTTTCTGGTGATCTGCGATTTACTCATTCAATCTCCGGATATTCTCTTAACAGTATAGAAGAACTTTTTCATTCTCTGACCGGTGTATACGCACTACCATGGCTTCGTATAGGTCCTTACATGGTTGGATTAGGTACAAGCTACTTGGTCCTCAAAATGAAGAATAAGGTCAACTTAAATAAGGTAATTATCCGATCCGCATTTGTGAAAAATACTTCGAGTTAAATTTTCTCTCAACTATATTTAAAGATGTCCAAGTACTTCGTTCAGATTAACGACTTTTTTCAAAGTAAGATTTCAGTTTTATCAAAAATCTTGCTATTCCCATACACTGATAGAATGATTCATTTATTCCAAACGAGATTCGTTAACTATTAACGAATATTCATTTGGTCATATTCACCTCCACCATTCGTTAATAGTTAACGAATGGTTCACTTGAATGGCCAAAGTCAAGTCAATCAAGCCTCCTCAAATATACATTCGTTAACTATTAACGAATATTCATTTGGTCATATTCACCTCCACCATTCGTTAATAGTTAACGAATGGTTCACTTGAATGGCCAAAGTCAAGTCAATCAAGCCTCCTCAAATATACATTCGTTAACTATTAACGAATGAACATTTGGCGGGACCGAATAGACCCTAACCCCCAACCAAAATCCATTCGTTAACTTAAGTAACTTAAATAAGGTAATTATCCGATCCGCATTTGTGAAAAATACTTCGAGTTAAATTTTCTCTCAACTATATTTAAAGATGTCCAAGTACTTCGTTCAGATTAACAACTTTTTTCAAAGTAAGATTTCAGTTTTATCGAAAATCTTGCTATTCCCATACACTGATAGAATGATTCATTTATTCCAAACGAGATTCGTTAACTATTAACGAATGGTAGAGGTGAATATGACCAAATGAATATTCGTTAATAGTTAACGAATGGTTCACTTGAATGGCGAAAGTCAAGTCAATCAAGCCTCCTCAAATATACATTCGTTAACTATTAACGAATGAACATTTGGTGGGACCGAATAGACCCTAACCCCCAACCAAAATCCATTCGTTAACTTAAATAACTTAAATAAGGTAATTATCCGATCCGCATTTGTGAAAAATACTTCGAGTTAAATTTTCTCTCAACTATATTTAAAGATGTCCAAGTACTTCGTTCAGATTAGCAACTTTTTTCCAAGTAAGATTTCAGTTTTATCAAAAATGTTGCTATTCCCATACACTGATAGAATGATTCATTTATTCCAAATGAGATTCGTTAACTATGAACGAATGGTAGAGGTGAATATGACCAAATGAATATTCGTTAATAGTTAACGAATGGTTCACTTGAATGGCGAAAGTCAAGTCAATCAAGCCTCCTCAAACATACATTCGTTAACTATTAACGAATGAACATTTGGTGGGACCGAATAGACCCTAACCCCCAACCAAAATCCATTCGTTAACAATAACTAATCCGATCTACCAGTGTACTTTTCCGGATTTGTTATTTGTTGAATCCATTTTTTTCGGGGATTTCTTCAATGAATATTGTGAATAATATTCTGTTTTGAATTTCTTCTTTAGAAAACCGTCTGGTTATTATGGACACTTGGTGCCGCTTGCAATATTGTTGCCGTCTTCGGGTTATACGACAGAAAATTCTATTTCTCCCCCATCCCGGCAGCCATTTTTGTCGCCGTATTTCGAACACTTTGGTCCATTGGTGTTGGATGGATTGTATTTGCATGTTTGAATAATTATGGCGGTGAGCTTCACATTCCAATCATGAACTTTAATTTTTTCAATTTCTCATTCATTCGTCTGCTTCCCAGGAATTATCAATTCATTGCTCTCTTTCAAAGCATGGATGCCAGGGAGTAAGCTGACGTATTGCGCTTACCTCCTGAATCCCCTGATCATACAAAGCTACTATTTGAGCGGCGAGCTACCCCTTCACGTCGACTTCATACCAAACGTAAGTCTCCATCGCTGCGGATCGATATCTCGTGCGATTTTCCTATTTTCTTTTTGGAACATAAAAATTTGGAAAAGTTCCAGTTGTAGAATATTCACTGGAAAATAGTGTCTGAGATTGAGACATTAAGACCTGTATTCTAAATATTCTAGGTGTCTTAGTCAAGGGTCTTTTGTGTCAAACCTACTTGACTGTGACTTGACCTTGTCAATGTCGGGCCAGAGTTGGGCCAATGTCGGGTCATGGTTGGACCAATGTCGGGCCATTGTTGGGCTAATTGCGGGCCAGGATTGGACCAATGTTGGCCCAGGGTTGGGTCAATGTGGGCCCAGGGTCGGACCAATGTCGGCCCAAGATTGGCTCCCTAATAATGCTACAATTTCCAAGAAAATAATGCGATGGCCACTAGTTTCAAAATCGACTGAAATAACATCCAAACGAATATTTTAAGCGATAATTTAAAAGATTTCGATGATTATTTTTTGAATAATCGTGGAAAAACTCGGAAAAAAAAGCTCACATACATACGGACATGATCTAAAAACAGCATATTCGAACTTCTGAGATCAAAATTAGTCATCCTGACCCAAAAAAATTTAAATTTTAGATTTGACGAAAACAATGCTTCAACTCGGAAGCAAAAATAGTAAAATAATTGATAATCTAAATCAAGAGGTCTTGAAAGCACTCAGTTTTCTCGTGTATTGCACCAAATTGAAGAAAATATCTGTCCGCGGTTTCTTCGATTAGCACAATTGATGACAATCTGTATCTCTTTTCAGCTGGTTCTCTTCTTGGGATTTATCGCCTCCACTTTCATCTTTGCATACATACACACACTGCTGTTCGAAATGCCCTATATGAACCTTATAAAACTTTATTATATGGCGCGGAGGAAGACTTGACGTTATTCACATTACATATTTCAATGAGATGTACAATGCAGTAAAAATAAACGTCACTATTTGAACTGAAAAATTACGAGTGGAAACAATTGTCCGGGAGAGGGAGATCAATGAAAACATATTGACGACGCTGATTCGTGTCGTTGATAGTCTACGAGCTGCCCTAGATAAAGTAATTAACTAGTGCAATAATAACAAGTTCAGACTGAGTGCTGGCGAATCCATATTTTACGTAGGGGAGAGCGGAACGAAAAACGAAACGTTTGTGATCCACTTTAAATATTGATATCTTTGTTCATAATAAACAGAGGTATTGGGATTTTGGACGGATAAATGTTCCACTTTGCCCCCACCTTCCTCTATATAAAATCAATGGTTTCACAGATGACTGTACACGAAGATAAATTAACTATTGCTTATAAGCAATAGTTAACTATTAATAATTAACTATTAATAATTAACTATTCCATATAAGCAATGTTGGGTGTTGAAAATAGCAACTAGTCTCGGATAGATCAATTCCGTGATGAAAAATTTCATCAGCCTCAAGTAATTCCGCCGATTTGCTGGGTGGCCCGTACTGCCCCCCCCCGTGAAGCCCTATTATCGTCTGGAAGATACTCTCTCGAGCCAAGAGAATCACGAGAGGATGTAGACGAGATGGGTCAGCACAGGAAACTCCGGAAACTCCCTATCAGCGCCTCGGAATCTGTGCTCTGTCAGCACTCCCCGCTCTTACACTCCAAATAGAGACCGCGAGGGGACGGATATGCGGCAAGAGCTACGATCCTACCGATTTCTTTTTCATTCATTTCTTTCCGTCCGCCGAAACGGAGCAGCTCCAGAAAAAGAATGTTCCACACTACCGCTCCCAACCACTGCGGAAAATAACCGAAGATCTATTGCATTGTGATGAATTTGTGCATCCTCATAGTCTTTTGTTTGTGTACAATGAGAGTGAGGAGAGGAGACAGAGAGAGAGAGTGAGAGAGAGAGAGAGCGAGAGAGAGTGAGAGAGAGAGAGAGAGAGAGAG